AGGCCACCATGATCTCTATACCGAAACTAAAAGTAGGTATATCAAGACAATACATCACACAACTAACAAGCTTCAGCAAACTAAGCCTATAAGAATAGTAAAGATTAGCGGGACAGGGCCCCAACCTACCCATAAAGATATATACAACAAAAGGTAACAAACCTCATAACTTTGGTAGCTTCGGAGGAAAGGGGCTAGCCAACCGGATAAAATTCAATCATGCTGCTGAGGAGGTCTACTCGGTCATCTATCAAGACCTACATGCATGAATGCAGCGCCCCCAAGGCAATGGGGCGTCAGTATAAATTAATGTACAGAGTATAAAGGGCAATAGACTATGATGAGGTATCCTGATATACTGGAATAATTTGATAAATAAATCAAGGATAATATAAGTGTATTGACCTGCTCTTAAATCTAAACTTATCAAAAATAATAAAACAACAACCTAACCAAGCCCCCTTAAGCTCGGCAGGTACAAACAACACACAAGACCACCTACTCAGGCCCCCATAAGCCTGAAAGGTGCCAATAAACCTATATACCCTTATCGGTAGTCCCCTAGCCCCGTAGGAAGTCACATAGCCCTCTTAGACATTTAGCCCCGCAGACAGCACATAGATCTCTTAGGCATCAACATAGCTTATAGACAACTAATAGCCCTCTTAGGCAACAACATGGCCCTGTAGGAAGCACATGGCCTTCTTAGGCGTCAATATAGCCCTATAGGCAACTCATAGCCCTCTTAGGCAACAACATGGCCCTGTAGGAAGCACATGACCTTCTTAGGCGTCAATATAGCCCTATAGGCAACTCATAGCCCTTCTAGGCATCAATATGGCCCTGTAGGCAACTCATAGCCCTTTTAGGCACCCATATACCCCTATAGGCAGAACATAGCCCTTCTAGGCATAAATCACATTCCTGCAGCTAACCACAATAGCCCCAAGGGCAACAATAACAATCCAATCGCTAAAAGTGAGCAATTTAGTTATAAGCAACCTATACAAATAGCCTCTAAGTCGTGTCCAATATAGGGACGCTACTAACTGAATAAGAATCCCGACAAGAGAGAATTATATCAACTCGAGCAGCCAACAATCAACAATCACGGCTACAAATATATCAAGGATAACAACCCAAATGCATTGCTTCTAAGCTTTAAGAAAACATGTCGTAAGTAGGGAATAGCCTTAACATACCTTTTTCGCTAAATTCACGTGGCCTAATGACTTTTACTCATAACTCCCTCGATACTACAACAAGGTAGGACCATAATCAACACACAAAAATAAAAGATATCATGACAATATGATAAAAGATATGCATTTCCATCGCAAATTGTTGTTTGCTTCTTATAAAAGCTAAAGTCGATGAAAGAAGGGTCTTACCTCGATCTTAAGTTCGTAATACGCCTCAAAACCTTCAAATATATTCAAACCCTTGTTGTCCCAACACTAAAGTGTGATCTGCTACGCAATCGATAAAACAAAGTATACCACGATGATGAGCCCAACGCGTAGAACAACTTTCGTCAAGGACTTAAGTCGAGAAAACTTCACTTGATACTAAAAATGAGTTTCTCTAATTTCTCTGGTTCTTAGCTTAAAAATGAAGAAAAAGGTCGAACAAGAAAATATATGTAACATTCCACCGACCTAGGGCCCCACTTTACATGCCTGCTTGTGCAGTCCTACGAAAACACAAATATCTCTCTATTCTGAAGTCGTATGAACGAACGGTTTGATGCGTTGGAAACTAGACTCGTAGACCTTCGATTCGATAGGTTGTGGGGATCATAACTCTAAATAGATTGGGAGAAAACGTCCGATACATTTGACCTAAATTTCAGACAAATCTTTAAAAAGGAATTTACGGTAACTTTCGCCAACTTTTATTTTTCCACTTACCTAACTTCAAAACATGATATACAACACATGAACACTTAAAATATCACATAACACATCATTATTAATTTATTACCCAACTTTCTGGTCTTTCCACGAAGATACAAGTCAATTTATACGTTTCGAAAAGTCAGGGTGTTACATTAAATTACAATATAAACAAAAAAAATAGTTTTAAATTATAATATAGCCACAAAAAAATAGTTTTTAAATTTTTTTCTTTACACTAAGGAATGAAAGAAAAAAATAAAATAAAATAAGAAACTCCAATAATTATAGTAAAAGAAGTCAAAAAAGAAGTTATGTATGAAAAAGATTAAAATATACCTTGAACTTTGCTAAAAGAATCATATATACCCCTAAATAATTTTTAAGAAAATTAAAAGTCAAAAATACAAATTTAAAACAATTTTTTTCACTTCCGTTAAATGAAGGGTATATGTGATCTCATTTTATAACGTTAGGGGTATATGTGAGCCGTTTGTATAATGGTAAGGGTATATATGAGCCACTTTCATAACGAAGGCATATCAGCTCCAAATAGCAAAGTTGAGGGGTATATCAGACCCTTTTCCCAAGAAAGAATAAAAGTGGAGCCAAAGGTATATGATAAATGAAAAATTATCTAAACATTCATTGTTTGATCAACCAAGATTTTACTTTTTTATAATTTCATATCCTTCTTGAATTTATGGAAATTATTTTAAAGCAAATGGAAGCGATACTAATACTCTATTAGTTTCATTTTATAGGACGATACTTGGCCAAACTAGTTAACCTAGAACTTAAGATTTTATTTTGGCACGTGTTTAGTATTCGATTTATTGATTTGACTAATTTCAATCGATGCCCAATAGGTTTACTAAAGAATAAAATTAGAGATGACAATGGAGTGTTGCGGTGGGGCACGAGCGGGTTGAACTTAATCCTCAAATTTTTTAATTCGTCCCGCATAACAATTTATTTTTATTTTTCAACCCTCCCCACATAGACCGCCCCACATGAACCCACCCCGTATATTCTTTTTTTTAAATGTTTTCTTACACTAAAAATAAAATTCAAAAAAATAAATTCATCTTTTCATTAAGTTGGATTAATTTAATAGATAATGACTAAAAAAATATTTTTTAGAGATCAATTGGAAAACATGTAAGAAATTGTTTTATTTTTTATTGAATCATTTTCATTTACTATCTTGAATATTTTAGTAGCTTTCAACAAATTATCTTAATAAATAATGTTTTATCACTCTTATAACGTGTAAAAAGTTAAAATTAAGTTTAAACCCACTTAAAATCACATCTACCCGCAATCCATCGACCCCACCCCAAATCCCTCCCGCCCTGCACAACCTTAAACCCGTCCCACATAACCTTAAACCCATCCCACCCCGCAACCACCCTGCCTCGCATAATGTTAAACCCATCCCGCTCCTCAACCGCCCCACCCCATTGCCATCTCTAAATAAAATGCTCTTTATAAAAACTTTTAGTTATTTCAAAATTTAAATTCTGAGACTCATAATTTATGGGTAAAATTTCCGATCATTCCACCATTCCCTTAGAAATCCAATAGGATTTTTAATCATGATCTTTTAACGTCCTCCGGCGCTTATATGGTCAGATTTGTAACCATATTAGTGAAATGTTGTGTGCTTCCATAATATTAAAAAACATCAAGGGTAGAACTTTAGTTTTTTTCTTTTAAAATCCAAATATTCACACGAATATCCTTATTCTGGGATGGTCTTTACTCCCCTCTCCTCAAAGTTTTGCCCTTCAACACTCGAGTAACAAAAATGTGGCTGAAAATATCCATAGTATTAGAAAAATGAATAAAAAATTCGCTAGACAAATGTTATGTCTATACAAGGCAATTTATTATTTTTTTGCAAGCAATACTTTATTCGTAAACATAAGGGTAAGTTCTCTTTAACTTTTTTAACAATACAAGACAAAATTCGTAATGCACAAGTTATGTCTTATAAGATATAACTTATTCATACAAACCTATATTGATAGAAACTAAGGTCTCTAAACTTTTGCTAAAAGTTACAACTCAACAACGTAAATTTTGCAAGGCACATGAAGTTATGCCTTACCAGGCGCGCGTAACTTACTCTTAAAGAATTTATACTAATAGAAATCTTTGGCAAATCAGATAATACACATTTTATAAATTTTTACCTTGCAAAATTAGGTTATAGTTAACAATTTGTTGGCCTATAATTTTTTATGAAATGAGAAACAGGGACAAAAATATATTTTTGTGAGCTAACTATTGCATAGAAAAGAGTTTACCCACTGTACACCCATGGAAACTAAAAAGGAAAGAGAAGAAGTGAACTGATTATTATTTGTCAACTAAATACAGGAACAAGGTTTCTTATTTTCTAAGTTGAAACTTTTATTTAAAGACTTTTCTTCTCACGGTATGACGTACTCATACACCAATGTCAAACCAAATCAATGACTAACATATATCGAACTGAAAAATTAGCAGTACGTAGATGTTTGTCAAAAATATTGTACTGTAAATTCACAATTAATATCTTAGCTTTGATTTATTTGTCCATACTTAATTCCTTATTTAGATTAGCGATCTTTTCAATTGAACTTTTTCTCACATATGTAAAAACTCGGCTCAACTAGTTATGCAAGGATCTAGCTTCAATCCTTAATCCAAGTTAATAATTTGTCTTTATTAGGTTAAACAACATACTAAATAACTAAATTGGAATTATCTTCTTTGTTGTCGATTAAAAGGAAACTAATATCTTTAAACCTAATGAGATAAGAAACATAAATCTATCCCGAGATTATAATTTCCTTCTTAAAATCGATATTGTGACTACATGAAATAAAATTATTGACAGTAATTGACATAATTATCGGATAAACATAGCTAAGAAAACATCACACGTAACACGGCTAGAACTTTATGAAAGAAGAAAAGTCACTTTCACATGAAACATCAATTCTCAGTGCGTAATTACACGATAATTCAAAGCAGAATTAATAATAATAATAATAATAATAATGGCAAATAGTAAGTCTTCACCTGCCTATAAATAGAGGCATAAATAAAAGAAAAATCATCCCGATCGAAAGCCTTGAATTTGTTTCCTCGATAGACATTTCAATTAAGTCATGGGTTTTCGTTTGAGTCATTTGAGTCTTGCATTGAGCCTTGTGGCACTTGCACTTGCAGGTGTTGCTATTTATAGAAATACTTATGAAGCCATGATCATGAATAACGGATCACTACTCCAAAATGTTTCTCCAAATTTCGATTCGTTGGAATCAGGCGTAGCCAGTATTTTAACCTTAAATAATAAGAAGAAAAATTCAGACAAGTACTTGAGACAGCAACTAACTCCAGAGGCATGCGTTTTCTCAGCTGTACGAGGAGTTGTGGACACTGCTATTGATGCAGAAACACGCATGGGAGCTTCTCTCATCCGGCTCCACTTTCATGACTGCTTCGTTGATGTAAATATATATTTCCTTCACTCTTTCTTTTTTACGGTATTTGACTATGCACAAAATTTAAGAAACAATGATTTTTTTTTAAAAAAAATTGTGAGCTAAAACAAGTTATCTATAGAGACTTCATGACTATAAATCATCTAAATAGGATAAAAATGAGAATTTTTCAAGTCTATAACACTGACATTTATCCTTATAAATTTAGTTTTAAATTTTTCATTTTATTCTTAATAAAATAATTTGTAGTCACTTAAATATTTAGGGAAAAAGGACAAATATACCTCCGAACTATCGTAAATGGTATGCAGATACCTTTTGTCATACTTTTGAAACATTGGTGCCCCCGCTGTCTAAAAACTAGAGCATATATACCCTTTATACTAACGGGCATACCCGTGTCATAATCTTATCCACTGACCCGACATTTATTAAATATCGGATCAACGGATGAGATTGCACCACGTGTCCCTATTTAGTCTTCCGTTAGAGTGAAGGGCATATATGCTTTAGTTTTTGAACGGCAAGGGCACCAATGTCCCCAAAATATGACGGAGGATATTTGCATACCATTTACGATAATTAAGGGGTATATCTATCCTTTTTCCCAATATTTTATGCTTGTTTAAAATCACAAATTTGAAAATTCTTTCATTTTCTCTTAAACTCGCAATTCAGTCAAATACTTTAATATAAATTGAAATGAAAAAGTCGACAGATATTATTTTTACGGACAGATTAAAAAGAGTACAATGTTAGGTGTAGTGTATTAATTGAAATGAAAGTGATTGTGGACCATAAAACTATGTGAAAGATTTGACGGTACGAACTCCAAATTAAGATTATTATGCATGGTCATGAATATCCCATAATACTTGTTAGATCGCTAATATATATTAAAAAAAATACTTTTTCTTTTATGTTTCCACCCCTCCCGCGCACACATATACCCTCCCCGTCTCAATTTATATTTGACACAAAGCTTAAGAAAGAAAAACTTTTAAAATTTATGATCTAAAATAAGTGATTTTATAACTATAATTAATTTTATCAAGAACAAAATAAACATTTTAAAGTTAAATTATTTTACTAAATATAAAAATATGTTACTCTTTTCGAAACTGATCAATATGGAGGAGTACATATATTGAGAAGAGTAGAAAGACATTTTTTGAAACTGAAAATATATAGTAGTTAGGTATAAATTGAATCTAATGAAGTATTTCTTTTGTTATTCCTTATATTTGTCCATCTTTAAATTAAACGCTTTAAGTGGTCGATCTGCAAGGAAAGACCGAAAGTGATTGTGGACCGTAAAATTTATTCGAAAGATCTGATGGTATGAACTCCAAAAACTTTGAAAAGTCTAATCTGCCACCCAACTACATAATTTTATGCTTAGCTATATCTTCTGTAGTTGACTAATTATAGCTATCTTTTTTGTATGAAAAAAACAGGGTTGTGATGGAGGTATTCTGCTAGATGATATTAATGGAACATTTCAAGGGGAACAAAACTCACCACCCAACGCCAACTCAGCCAGAGGTTATGAAGTGATAGCACAAGCTAAACAAAGTGTCATAAATACATGTCCCAACATATCTATATCTTGTGCTGACATATTAGCTATTGCTGCTCGTGATTCTGTTGCTAAAGTAAGTTCATTATTCACTTTACACCTTGATTAATACTATCAAAATTAATTGTGAATAATAAGAAATGGATATTTGATGTAACTCAAAAGTCATCGTGGAAGTTGAGAATTGTTCAAAGAAGACCAAATTCCACATCCACAATTAATGTGTAAATTTTGACACCTCACCTGTTATGTCCTGTCAATTGGAGTGTAGAGGGTCCAACATTTAATAGATCAAGAATTGTATTTAGTTCGATTATGATAATATGACAAAGAAATTGACTTGGGCTAACTCAAACCCAAAATTTAAACTCGTAACTTAAACTCTGTTTTGGTATATGACAGTTAGGAGGACAAACTTATAACGTTGCATTAGGGAGAAGCGATGCTAGAACGGCCAACTTTAGTGGTGCTATAAATCAACTTCCAGCTCCATTCGACAACTTAACTGTCCAAATACAGAAATTCAGCGACAAAAATTTCACCCTCCGTGAAATGGTTGCGCTAGCTGGTGCTCACACGGTAGGTTTCGCCAGGTGTTCTACCGTTTGCACCAGCGGCAACGTTAATTCTGCCGCACAACTCCAATGCAACTGCTCCGCCACGCTTACTGATTCTGATTTGCAACAATTGGATACTACTCCTACTATGTTCGACAAAGATTACTACGATAACTTTAACAGCAACCAAGGTATAATGTTTTCGGATCAAGTTTTGACCGGGGATGCTACAACTGCTGGTTTTGTAACGGATTATAGCAACGATGTTAGCGTTTTCCTGGGAGATTTTGCTGCTGCCATGATCAAGATGGGAGACTTGCCTCCATCCGCGGGTGCTCAATTGGAAATTCGTGATGTTTGTAGCAGGGTTAATCCCACTTCTGTGGCTTCTATGTGAAATTCGGAAATTTTAAGTAACTTATCTCAGGATTAGTTGCTTTATCTTTTCTTCAAAATAAAAGAATCACTGGCTCCAGAATGTGGTTTTGGTATTTGTTTTGTAATCCTTTCAGTATTATGATCAGTTGATGCCATGCATATATGTAACAAAATACTATATGAATATTGTTTTCCTTGTGTGCTACTGTTGGTGATTTTTTTTTAAAAAAATCGTACTAATTAAGGAGCTGATCAGAATAGTTCAATTCGTTATTAAAAATTTAATAATCTGAAAATAAAAATAGTACTCGGATAGCCTGAAAATCAAAATAAGAAAGGTTTGAAGAAAATATAATTTTTTTGGATACCACCACAAGTCAAGTAATTCATACATGCCGATTTTTAATACTCCTACAAAACATGTGCAGTTTTATTCAAAACTCTTAAGTTTAAAATTCAAATGACATGAAATTTATATTTGAGACAAAACCCACAATTCCCACAATAATATTTACATTTGTAAGGTTCACATGATTACATTAATCAAGGGACTCTGTTTATATATCGATTATAAGTTCTTTGTATCGCTTTATCAAATAAGGTCTAGTTAGGCTATGAAAGGGTCAACCTTTTTTTCCTTTCTAAAGCATTGGCTTTAACTTTTTAAAAAAAAGAAAACTTGAATTATAAGGAAAGCAGTTGTACAACAATGTGTCAATGTGTCTAGTACAACAAAATTATTTGAGGGCCTCATTGGTTCCAGTACCACGATGTCTGTCTATCAGAAGTTCAGAACAGTACTAATTTGTCTAGAAGTAGAGACGTGTCATCTCACTTGGCTAATTGGTCAACTAAGTAAATTTACTTCTACAATGACAAATTATTGAAACAAATTAAAAAATTTAGCATCGATAATAAAATTGTCGCTTGGCGACAATTATTAATATTAATAATCTATATAAATGGACCTAACGGCTTAAACGACTCTGAATGCAATAATATTGACTCAATTGTCGGTAACTAGTCTTTTTTGTTGTAGTGACCTGAGTTTTACCAGTTGATGCAATGTTCCTAGATGTATGAATATATATATATATGTTGCCAGTGTCCTAGTGCCATTATCTACCCAGAGGTCTAGTCAATGAAAGGGTCAACGGTTTTGTAAGGATAGCCTTGGAACTAAACAAGCGTGTGGATTATGGGCTGAGTTATCCTTTGAGTTTAGAATTGGCTAAGACATGTATTATTGGTCCCAGGAGGTGGTTGTCAAAATATGCTGTATTTATATGAGTATCATGTCCTAGAATAAAAGAGGATAGGATTAAGTGGTCTCTAATCACATTCTGTGTGTGACAAACGACACATGAACACTGTCATATGTACTCCAATTTTGCATAGTCAATTGTTTGTCTCCCTTCAAACTTGGAAGTGTAACCACACATTGTTTCGAAGCTAAAATTTGTTTAAAGCATGTGGATGCTAACACAAAATTCTTTCACGCTACTAGATTAAACCGTTGGAGGAAGAATCCTTTAATTAAGGGAAAATTATCAAACTAGTCAAAATTCCTAACATAATTAATAAAAATATTCATACTTTAAAATTATTATTAAAAATGTCATAATGTCATTATTTTAGTAAATATAATGTATCCTAATATAATTATGATTATTTTACTATCCTAATACAATTATTTTCCCAAATAAAACTCCAAAATCAGGCCACATTTACCTAATTTGACTCCACTACCCGGTTAAAAGTTTTTTTTTTTAGATAAAAACCCACAACCCTATTTCCTCTCTCTATGTTTTTACCCCCAAATCTCTCTACTCTCTCTCTCCCGTTTCCACCATTGTTATCTCCTACGAAATTTCTTACAAATTAATCCACTTTTAAAGCAATTTCATAAGTCATTTGTGATATTCTTGAAAAAATTTATCCCGATTATACAGGTAAATACAACCTCTTCTAGTATTTTTCAGATTTCATTTTTTTTTCTAAATACAATCTTTTGAAAGATTTTTGCCCGATTATACAGGTAAATACATAAAGTATTTGTGTTTTTAGCTACATTATATATCCTGAATTAGTGATGAAGAAGATTCTATTCTACTAGATCCGTTGTGTATCCCAAATTAGTAGTATCCAAAAGCGAATTATATTATCTCCATTGTGTAGTTGTTTGATATATGTGTCATGTTTATATATCCTTTGCCAGATTGTATTATTGTTTTGTGTATAGTATGCTCTTAGATTGTATTATTTTTGTTCTTTTCCCGATTGTATTATTTTTTTGTGTATTAATATGTTCTTAGATTGTATTCTTTTTTGTCTTTTTTCCAGATTGTATTCTTGTTTTGTGTATCAGTATGTTATTAAATTGTTTTCTTTTGTCTTTTTCCAGATTGTATTCTTGTTTTGTGTATCAGTATGTTCTTAGATTGTATTCTTTTTGTCTTTTTCCAGATTGTATTCTTATTTTGTGTATTAGTATGTTCTTAAATTATATTATTTTTGTCTTTTTCCAGATTGTATTCTTGTTTTGTGTATTAGTATGTTCTTAAATTATTATTTTTTTGTCTTTTTCTAGATTGTATTTTTGTTTTGTGTATTAGTATGTTCTTAAATTATATTATTTTTGTTTTTTTCCAGATTTTATTCTTGTTTTGTGTATCAGTATGTTCTTAAATTGTACTATCTTTTTGTGTCCCTTAGTATGTCTCATATTAAAATTGTTTTTCAAAATGCAGTTGGCCAGAAGGATGATGAGACTTTAATGGTTGTATATCCAAGAGGATATTATCAAATATTATTTAAATTACACATTCATTTTTGAATCTCATCTATAATAATATGCAATAACTTGAATTTATATGCAGTGATTTTTGTACTTGGAGTATAAAATGATAAATTCACTGGTTTAGATAGGAAAAAATAAAAGGAAAACTTCAAATAAATGGAGAAAGAGAACAAACAGAAATATCAAACCAATATAAACTTGATATTAAATAAATGGAGAAAGTGAAAGGTGAAAGAAAACAAATAGAATTAAACCAATATAAATTGTGTGATTAAACTTTCATCAATATCTTTAAACTTTAGCGCGAATGGTTGCCACTCGTCGATACAAACACCTATTGAGGGTAGAAAAAGAAGGAGGAATTAAACAGAAATAAATACACTAACAACCTAACTAAAAAACTTTTAATCATTATAAACATATATAACGTAAAATTTATTGGGTTCGTTTTATTCCTGATTTTCTTATAATAATTGAGTTTTTCTTTTCTTAAAGGAAAATACAATTTTTTTGGGTAGAAAAATGTTTATGACTCTATAAATAGAGGTTCAATTTTTCTAACTTGGTAACATCCACTATGTAGTCATTAGAGCTTTGAATTATTTTTTTTAAGGGGAGAATTTATAAGATTCAAGTCACAAGTGTTATCTTATCACTAATAATTGTGTGAATCTCTTTTTATTTTGAGTGAATTTTATGAGGTTATTTCTCATTATATTTTGTACCCTCTTTTATATATAATGGATTGGTTATCTACTATAGTGAATTAGGTCAATTGACTAAATCATATTAAATATTTGTATGTCTTTTGATATATTAATCTTTCGAGATTTATTTTGCTAGATTTTGTATGACACCTTAATATTTTTGTCCTATCAAAATCAATTGTTGGTATGTACATATGCTCTAGTCAAGTGCCGCTCATTTTATATTCCGATATCTCGGAATAAAGGACATTAATATATACTAGTTGAATTGCTAGTATTGTTCTTCACAAAATAAAACGAACAAAAAGCCCAAACAGACAATGACATTCTAGTTCTAATCTTTGATACAATCAAGGGAAGCAAGAATATTCCATATTATATCTAGAGAAGAAGCTGCGTACATACGTTTGAATGAACGATATAAATAAGGGGAATCTTCGCATTTAGGCACTAAAACATAACTTAATAATACTCCATAGCTATAATTTGCTAATTACGATTCGTAGCTACATGTTAGAGGGAGGAGATAGACGAGCGAGTGAGGGCAGAAAGTGGAAAGAGACGAATTGTATATGTATATTTGTCGAATAATTTTTTTTTTGTGTATATATATATATATTGTCGGTATACATATGTATTTTTATATCTGACGGGCGAGATTGAGAGAGGGAGGAGAGAGGCGAGCGAGATTGGGAGAGGAAGGAAAGAGGTGAGTGAGAGAGGGCAGAGTGGAGAGAGGTGAGTTGTATATGTATATCTGTCACATAATTGTATATATATAACTGATATACATATGTATTTATATATCTGGTGAGCGAGGTTGGGAGAAGGAGGAGAAAGGCGAGTAAGATTGGGAGAGAGAGGAGAAAGGTTAATTGTATTGGTATATCTGTCGTGTGTGCGCGTGTGCGTGTGTGTAATTTGCATTTGTATATGTATAAAAGAGGAAATGCGATGTAATTATAACTAAAATTAAGTTGCGAGCCGTAATTAATTCAAAATATAGTTATGTTAGCTAATTGACTAGTATATATTTGTTTTATCGCGTAATTTATAACTCTATCACATTTTATGTGGCACCCTTTCCTCTTTGGTTCGTCTAAAAAAACGTCACTTTACTATAATTAGAAACAATTTAGTTTAAAAATTCTATTTTTACTTTTAATGAAATAATTTACAGTCACACAAATATTTAAAAAATGTTTTAGATCACATGTTTCAAAAAGAAATTATTTCTTTTCTTAAATACTGGTGTCAAGTGAAGGATGACCACGTAAAATAGGACAAAGGGAGTACAATACTATGAGTATGCTCTATAAAACACACAACATTACAATCATACAATACATTGATACAAAGATTCAAAACCCTTCTTCCTCTCTCCAGTATTCTTTCCCTCAACAAAAAGCATAAAGCAAAAAATATATCTTAGAAATATTAAATAGATGGGTGCCAAAAAGGACTTCAAAGTGAAGTTGATCAAAACAGAGGTGGTAGCAGCAATGTTGCCAATGCAAGAGCATTGGCTATCACAGTCCAATCTTGATTTGCTTTTACCTCCAGTGGATGTTGGAGTATTCATATGTTATCAAAATCCTATTACCTCTGGGATATTGCCAAAAATTTGGTCATTTGATTCAATGGTCAATGTTCTTAAGGTGTCTTTGTGTGAGACTTTGGTTTCATACTATGCATTTG